AGTTGGGTCAGCTCCTCAAGGAGGGGCACGATGCAGCTCTGAGCCAGTGAAACAGCATTTGCCTGCTAACGTGGCCCAAGCGAGAGGATGAGAAGCCCTTCTCCACGCGCTCCAGTCCAGTCAGCTGAGCTCAGTGCAGGGCAGGAAATGCTGGTCTTGGAGCAGCATCTTCTCCCCAAAAACATTTGCAGTCCTGACCCGGGAAGGTGTCATCTTCCTGGTGTCATCATCCAGGTGCTTCTCTGGGACTGTTAATCTATTCATTAACTTACTAGAGGCTGAAATAAGCTGTACTTTGAGGCATGTTTGCTGTAGTAAAAATAACCATGAAGTCTGCTCTGCAGTGAGCTGGGTGAATGGGAGCTAATTTTGCTGGTATCTTAACAATTATTTATCAATTTCTTAGTAGTTGGCTGCAGTTCAGAAAGCCCGTTAGCAGGTTCCTGGATACTCTCACATATATAACTTTCAAATCTCCACTTGTATTTTCTTGTTAGTCCCACATTTGTTTGCCGTTAAAGGGATTATCAGCTTAAGTATCCTAGAAAAAGCTAATATCAAACCTCTGATTGCTAGCAGTACTTCCAGCACATCCTGGACTTCTGATATTCTCCTTTGAAAACAGCTTTTGTTAATTTTTTTTTTTCCGTCTCCCATGTTGATGTTTATAGAGCTTTTTTTCTGGAGAGGAAGCATAAGCAGGAGTGTGAGTAAGAAGGCAACTCTTCTATTCATTAACACCGAAGAAAGAGAGCCTGTGACCTTTTGCTTTAAAAGGTTTCTTTCTGGAAATACTTGCCTTGTCTGGCCTGATTTTCCTGGAGAACTTGCTGGACAGCTGGAGTAATCTCAAGTAGTGAAGGAATGAGAACCAGAATGGCTGCGGGGGAAGGAATTCTGCTCTGGCCTATTTTTAAACTCCTTGATCATGCTGACACCTGTTCCACACCCGGCCAACAGCTGTGGGGAACTGTGTTCAGCCTTTGCTTTGTGTGCGTGCTCCAAGGGGGGCTGCTTTTGCTCTCTGGAGAGATACATCATGCAGACTCTGGTGTTCCTGCTATTTCTAAGTTTTGAGTCGGCCAGCATCCTCTAAGAATGTTTGATTCTGCAGAAACAACAAAAGTGGCAGTCGCTCACCCCCTTGCTGCCTTTGCTTTCTTTGCTTTCTTCTTTCTTTGCAGCTGTCCCCTCCCTTGCTTTCTTGTAAACATCTTTGAGTTTTGGTCCTATATTCCCTTCTTCAAAAGCAGGAAATTTTCCATCTGTAGAGGACATCTGTCCTCACATCCTCCCAGGACAGAGGTCCTACTAGCTCAGGGTCTGTCACTGGGGGGTGAATGCCCCTGTGCAGTCTTAGGGCAGCAGAACATGGGCTGTGCAGCTCCTTGCGCCATGGCAGAGTGTGGGAGAGGGTGGCTACAGACACTGGGAGATGTCGTGACAGGGATGCTCAGGCCGTGCGGTGCAGGGCTGACTTGCTGCAGGCTGGATGCAGCTGATGACAGCAGGAGCACCGAGAGATTGATGCCCCACTGGAGCAAGAGCTCAACAGGCTCAAGAAGAAGTGCTGAGAGGGACTCTCTCTTGCGCAGATCCCCTCCGTGTCCTGGCAGGACGTTGGTGGGCTCCAAGAGGTGAAGAAGGAGATCCTGGACACTATCCAGTTGCCCCTGGATCATCCAGAGCTGCTGTCGCTGGGTCTGTGTCGTTCTGGCCTGCTGCTTTATGGCCCTCCTGGGACAGGGAAGACCTTACTGGCAAAGGCCGTGGCAACCACGTGCACCATGACCTTCCTCAGGTGAAAAGCTGGGGTATCGCGTGGTCAGAGTGACTTTCTCCTGGCAGCTCACAGTTCTCCTAACTGTTGTCTTTTCTCCCCACACTGTAGCGTGAAAGGGCCAGAGCTCATCAACATGTATGTTGGGCAAAGTGAGGAGAACGTGCGCAACGGTGAGCCCGAGTGCCCTGCTCCTGGCACGGTGGGATACGGGGACTTTTCTGGGGTGCTGGAGGGAAGGAGCTCGTAGTTAACCCCACCCCTTACCAATTCTTCCTCGCAGCTGCCACCGAGGGTGCAAACCCAACCGTCTCCTGCACCCCCTCTCTTCTCTGCCTTGCTGCAGCCACTGCTGCTGCTCTCTCTGTTCCTGCTGCTCATCCTTGGCCTTGCTGATGGGACTGCATCCCCTCTGAAAGCCAATTCAAGCCTCAGGGGCCATCGTGTGAGGTGCTGCCCTTGTTGGGAGCTCCTGATTTGGCTGAGCCCTTTAAGCAGGAGCAGTGATTATTGGTAAAGTGGGATGCAGCTGGTTTCCCTTCACAGCTCCTCTGTGCTGGTGACTTCGTGCGTCCTGGTGTTCTCACTCAGCTCTCACATCCTGCGTGCTCTCTCTCTCTCCTCCCAGTGTTTGCCAGAGCCCGAGCAGCTGCTCCCTGCATCATCTTCTTTGATGAACTGGATTCCCTGGCCCCAAATCGTGGGCAGAGTGGAGATTCAGGGGGTGTTATGGACAGGTAAGATAGCACAGAGCATCCTTAGGAGAGCAGATGTCCTTGCCTGAGCTAGGGGAGCATGGGATGGCCTAGTGAGGCAGAGTCCGTCTCGGCTCTCCTGCTGTCCCTCTTTGCTCCCTTCAACTCCCCTGCACAGCCTGTCTCCTCTGAGGCTGCCAGTACTGCTGTTTGCATTGCAGCAGATCCCTGATTGCCCAAGCCTGTTGTGCAAACATTTGGTTAAGACGGGGCCCCCTCCAATAGCTTCTGTGGCTGCTAGCTGTTCCCTTTGGCCTCTCCAAGGTCATTGCTCTCCTCGCATTAGCTGCTGTTTCCCTGTAGTGGGAAACCTTTCAGCTGCCTTTGGTTGAAGGAAAGTTTGTGCAGTTTGGATATACCCAGAAACAAGGCAGGTTCTTCCAGGTGTCTTTTGTTGAGCTCATTTCCCGTCCTCATCTCTATCCATGAGGATTTCTGCAGAATGGAGGATTTGCCAGTAATGCCGTGTGCCCCAGTGTCTATCTGCACGCCCAAAACAGCACAGAAGCTTTTTTAGGTGTGGGCCCAAAGTGGTCCCAGAACCTTGTGGAGCCATCTCCATGCCAGGAGGTCTGGGTGACGCTCTGAGGTCACTCTGCAGCAGCCCCCTGGGTTTGAGGTGTGCACCACTCGCTGGCTGGCAGCATCCCTGGCAGAGACCGAAAGCGCAGAACCGTGTAGCAAGGAGGGTTAGTGTCAGGGAATCCAAGGCACGGCCGTACGCACCTGCCTGTGGTTGGTCCTTGTTGCTGGTGTCCATGATAGCCCGGGTAAGCATGTGCAGCCATCCTGGAAGGGTTTAGGGCCAAGGAGAGGCTTTTAGGGCTGTCTTGGCACTAGGGGGTTGCACTCGCTCTGCAATGTGCCTCCATGATCACTGGCTTCCCTGAGAGATGCGAGTAGTCGTAGCAGGGCAATTCCAAAGAAAAAAGGTAAGAGCTGGAAGTCAAGACAGGGACCCGTGGGTGGATGCGTGCCATAGTGGGCAATTTGCTGAGCCCTCATTGTGTCTCCTCTCCTTCCTTGCAGAGTTGTCTCCCAGCTCCTGGCTGAGCTTGACGGACTTCATTCCACCAGAGGGGTGTTTGTCATCGGAGCTACAAACAGGCCCGACCTCCTGGACCCGTCGCTGCTCCGGCCGGGGAGGTGTGTTGCATGCTGCTCTTCCTTGCTTCAGGGTAGTTCCCTGGAGTTGCTCAGGCAGCAGTTGAGCTGAACTGGGCGCAGCCGTAATCCTGATGGCTGCAGTTAGTCCATGCTGGGGCAGAACTTGCCCTTGTTGGATCTCATGAGGTTCCTGTGGGCCCGTTTCTCCAGCCTGGGTGGTGAGGTCCTTCTGAAGAGCTGCCCTGCCCTGCAGTGTATCAGCTGCTTCCCCTCATCCTGGTGTCATCCACCTTGCTCTGACAGCAAAAGGTTTCTAGTGCACAGGACTGGGCCCTGGAGAAAGATTTATCTTGGCCCTTCTTTGACTGTCTTTTCTCTCTGCTGACAGATTTGACAAGTTGGTCTATGTGGGCATCAATGAAGACCGGGAGTCGCAGCTGCAGGTGCTGAGTGCTGTCACCAGGAAGTGAGTGACCTTGTCTTCTTGCAGTCCTGCAATGGGCTGTGGCCTTCCTGGCTCACATGTGGGCTGCTGCAGCCTGGCCTTGTGTCTGGGCCCCGAGAACACCCAAGTCACTGTCAGGCAGCCGGTAGGAAGCGCAGGACAAGGGCAGGTTTTCTGCACAGTGGGAGCAGAAGCATCTCAGCCCCCTGAGTGAAGGCTGGAGGAGCTGGTAGAGTTCTCCAGTCACCGTTCCCATGTCTTCTACTCAGGGAGCTCAGCCAGCTCCTCTCAGTGTGTTGAGGCTGCAGGGCACTAGCGTAGCAGGAGTCCCCACTGGGGTCCTGCAAGGTTTCCTACACGTTTCCTACAGTTTCCAGGAGCAAGTGCACAGGTAGCTCTGTATGGAGGTCCCCCCAGGACAGCCGGGTGAGCAGCCGATCTGCCTCAGCAGGGACTTGTGAGCTGGGGTGCTGGGACTGCTCCTCCCTGCAAGGATAACCCGGTGGGAGAGGCTGGTCACGAGCGCCTTTCCACACCATGTGGTTTGGCAGCAGCACCCTCCGGCACGGCGTCTGCATCGTGGCTCTTGCGAGGCCGTTTGGTGGCAAGGTGGTTTGTACCAGCAGTAATTAAATGTGTTCTCATTCAGCCCTGGCTGCAGGCTGTTTCCAGGTGTGGAGAGCACTTAATTTCCCTGAGCCAGAGTAGAGAGCTGCTTTTGATCCTGCTCAGCAGGGACCGGGACCTTGCTGCAGGGATGTCTCGAACAGGAATTGGCCATATTAAAAGAAGAAAAAAAATAGGAAAGCTTTTTTTTTTCTCTCTCTTTCTGTTGCTGTTTTTTTCTTTCTTTTTTTTTTTTTCTTTTCACACAGAGCACATCCCACCATGGAACATGACTCTAGTCTCCAGTTCCTCCTGTCCTATCACTGCCTGACACATTTCTCCCAGTCCCCAGTCTCCCCCCTCTTGCTTTCCCTCTCCCCCCTCTTGCTTTCCCTCTCCCCGCTCTTGCTTTCCCTCTCCCCGCTCTTGCTTTCCCTCTCCCCGCTCTTGCTTTCCCTCTCCCCCCTCTTGCTTTCCCTCTCCCCCCTCTTGCTTTCCCTCTCCCCCCTCTTGCTTTCCCTCTCCCCTCTCTCGCTTTCCTTTTTCTCCCTCTCCCCTCTCCCCGCTCTTGCTTTCCCTCTCCCCGCTCTTGCTTTCCCTCTCCCCGCTCTTGCTTTCCCTCTCCCCCCTCTTGCTTTCCCTCTCCCCCCTCTTGCTTTCCCTCTCCCCGCTCTTGCTTTCCCTCTCCATTTTTTCTCTCCCCTGTGTCTCTCACACCTATTGTTATTTTTTCTTTGCAGGTTTAAACTGGATCCTTCCGTGAGTCTCCCCAGCATCCTAGAAAAATGCCCTGCTCGGCTGACAGGAGCAGACATCTATGCGCTGTGCTCGGATGCCATGATGAGCGCTGTCAAGCGCAAGGTGGAGTGGATTGAGGAAGGTGAGAGCCTGGCCCCAGCTTGGCCCATGTGTTGGCGGCTGCCCTGCGGAGGGGACACTCGCTGCTGCCACAGGAATTTGGCTGGAAAAGAAGAGTTTTTGGAGCGTGTCTTCCTGCTGGGCTGTGTGTTGCTGGCAGGCAGTCGCTGCGTGTGGGGGTCACCTTTCTCTCCAGTGCTTGGCCGCAGGGGAATGGGCAGAGGGACCTGTGACTCCCAGCCTGCTGGCAAATAAGAGCAGACTGGAGGGGGGCTCTTGGGACATGCTGCCCGGCCCTGCTCTTTGCTCTGAGCTTGCTCTTCCTCTCTCTCATGCAGGGCTGGATACAGAGAGTTCTGCTCTGGTGCTGACCATGGAGGACTTCCTGCAGGCTGCTGCAAGGCTGCAGCCTTCGGTCTCTGAGCAGGAGCTGCTCAGGTACAGATTCATCCAGCAGAAGTTTGCTGCCTGCTAAGCCCCAGCAGAGCTAAGAGTGGAAGAGATGAAGCCGTAAAGGACTTGGGAGACATGAGACAGAAACAGGCACCTTCCTTCTATCACCTCTCTTGTGCCTGGCTGAGCGAGTCGCCATGCCCTGCAGTGGTGCTTAGTGTGGTGGTGGGACCTGTCACCCCCCTCGGCACCCAGGGGAGCTCCCCATGGGTGCTTGGAAGCATGTGGGAAGCTGGGAGGTTTGAGGGCCTGGAGAGCGTGGGAATAGCTGAGTGGCTGACAAGGCCACCCATGTGAGAGCAAGGCCCAAACGGTACCAAGTTGGGCAGCAGGAGAAGGGTTCGGGAGGTTGTCCCTCGTTGGGGCACTAGTCCCCAGTGAGGGGATGGTGGCCAGAGCGTGAAGGAACAGAGAGTGCTGCTGCCACAGGCAGCCTAGGCTTGATGTGGACTTTGAAAATAAACACAGGTTTCTAGTCCAGCTTCTGCCTCTGCACGGTCAGCGTGGGGCTTTGGGCCTTTGCTCACCACAGGCCTCAGGAAAGGGCCCTTTGAACCCCTGGGAAGGTCTGGGTTGTGCAAAGAAATGGCTGTCCTGGAGGAAGTGGGGGCATCTAGGAACAGGGCTGGAGTAGAGGGCCCTACGCCATGGGCACTGGTTCCTCTGGGAGGTGCTCGCTGCCAGGACGAGACCCCATGGTGGCCTCCTGCCCTCCTCCGTGTGGGAGCCGCACGTGCGCTGTGGCTGGGCCTGTGCTGAGAAAGCGAAATCAAGATCCCCAGGCAGAAGCGGCTGCCTCAGAGCCACCACATGCCTGCAGGTGCAGCTGGTGGCAGCCGGAGGTGAAGCCCAGGCCTGGTGCCCGCCACACGAAGCCGGGTTGTGCTGCAAGGAGCTTCCAGCTCTGCTAATACCTCCCTGAGGACCAAGGCCGCGTCCTCCTGCGGTGAGGGCCGCGCTGCGGGTGCTGCGCCTGGCGGACACCGCTAGCCCTGTTGCTTCAGCTCTGAGGCCCGAGCGTGTCGGGGCAGGGCTGCCCGCGTCTGCAGCTGGGGCCCACCGCGGTGCTCAGCCACAGCAAACGGTGCCGCCTCGGCCTGCGGAGCCTGCAGGCCCTCGGGGCCCAGCAGGGTGAGGCAGGGAGGTGCTGCGCAGCCCGGCACCCAGCGCGGCCAGAAAGGGTGAGGACGGCACGTGGTGGTGGGGGAGAGCCCTCCCGCAGGCGGCTTGGCGGGGGGAGGGACGTGCAGCTGCCCCAAAACCCCGCGCTGCAGGGAGGCCTGGCCCTCGGAGGCAGAACCGCAGCACACGGCCATCCCCTTGCCCGCCACCGCTCCCCTGTCCCCGCGCCCTGCCCTACACGGACACACAGACCCAGGGCTGTGGTAGCTGGCACGAGCGCCCTTCATTAACAGGAAAGAGTCCTGGTCTTTGGTGGTGAAGGCACCATGGGGGGGGTGGTGTCCCAGCCCTCATCACGCTGAGGTCTCTGTGGCCGTTGCTGCAGCAGCCCAGCTTCAGGCCGTCTTCTTCACGACATGGATGAAGTAGCAGGGGATGTGGGCCTGCCCCGGCGTGTAGGGCTGGAAGTCACCCAGGACGCTGTGCTGGCACTTCCCTTGGAAGGCACCTTTCAGCAGGGCTGTGAAGGCCTCCAGCTGGTGGGGGTAGTAGGAGAGCCGAAACTTGCTGCAAGGAGGCACCTGTGTGAGGCTAGTGGTCATGGTGCTGGGGCCACCACTGGCCTCCTGAGCCCCCGCTCACCTCAGCTCTGGGGATGCCCCGGCCTCCTCGGCCGGGACCTGCACAGTGTAGTCCAGGGTCACCATGTGAGCCTTATTGTTCACCAGCAGCACCGACGTGGTGATGTCCTTGGTCAAGTCACTCTAGGGACCGCGGGAGGCCAGCTGGGTCCTGTGGGCGCGCAGCGTCCCTTCCCTCCCTCCCTCCCTGGCCCAGGGGCGGGGGGTGGCCGGAACTGGGCTGAGTCCCTCCCTGAGCCTGGTGCCCACCTACCTTGTAGTAGATGTTCTTGCCTGGTGGGGCACAGCCCGTGGCCAGGATGTGGTCGTAGTTGCGGTGGTCAATGACCAGGACCCCGCCGGGCCGCACCATGCTGGCAATGTTCCTCAGGGCCAGCTTGTGATCGCTCTGGTCCCCTGGGGAGCAGAACATGGAGGGGTGTGTGTGTGTGTGTGTGTGTGTGTGTGTGTGTGTGTGTGTG